CCCAAAAGAGAAGACGATATACAAACAAAAAAAAAAAGAAAATTAATCACTTTTTTTTTTTTTTAAATACAGTAATAACTAATAACAGATAACAACAAATGCGACCATAATTTATTTCGAGTGACGTAGCCTTGCATTTGTGCAATATTTACTATTTCACTAGATAGTTTCTTTTTTTTTTTTGACTTTACTTTTTTATTATGTACTGATAAAAACTTGGTCAGTGCTCTTTTCACCATCTCTCCCCTCTAAATGGACAACGTTGTTGGCCAGGAAAATACTCGAAACAATGTGGCGGAGGAAGAGGTAATTTTATGTAAAAATGAACAAAAGGACGCGGGGGAGAGGAATGAAGTCGTTGAAGGAGAGGATTCAATACTTGATAATAAGAACTCATCAACAGCGACGCAAAAGGACGTTGCTGTAGGTGACCAAAGTAACACAACGGATGTTTCAGCAAGTGCACCGACAGACATATCAACTTCACCGAAAAACAGTTTAGAAACCTTACAATCAACCCCAACCTCAACATCTGACCCATATAAAACGAACAGCTTGGTTTTTAATAAACACGAGATTCTCGTTACCTCAGATTCACAAACCCACTCTCATTATTTAGATACAGATATTGATCCAAACAACCTTTCAGAGATTGACGAAAACGGAATGATAGCCTTACAAGTTGTCGAAAAGAAAAGCACAAATCCATCACCATCCGATACATTAACATCGACAATAAATGCATCTAAAATAATAACGCCAAAACGGATTATTCGAATAGAAAGAGATTATTCTCGTGGAGAGTTGTGTCAGTTCCGTACAACTTTTCCAACAGAAATTGATGGACGGGTAATTTTTTTTTATAAAAGCTTTAGGAATTATATATACTGTCAAATATGGATATAACGGGCATGTATACAGTATAACCGATAAGAATTTAAATTTATAAATTTACAGTAGCCCCCCCCAAAAAATGCATCGCTTGAATGGAACTCCAATATTTTCTCAACGGTAAGGATCTGCGTTAAGATTTTGCAATGCATTTTTTATGAGCTTTAATTAATAATTTCAGTTTAAATATATCAGATAATTACATAGGTTTTTAGAATTTAAGAATGACCCTAGGCATTAAAATCGGTTGGGTCCTCATTGATATGTGTGCACTTTTGGCTAGATAAAACTTTGATTAAATTACTATTAAATTTTAATTACAAAGTTTTGTTTACATCCTGATGAGAACCTAACCTATTTTAATGCTCAGAGACATTTTTAAATTTTAAAAGCCTATGTAAATATCTAATATCTTTAAACTAAGTTATCAGGGTTCTCATCGCTAATATTCAAAAAGAATGCATTGACAAATTTAACAAATCGTGACGTAGATCGAAATCATGAGTTTATGCAAATTAAATAAAAAATAACTTACCATTGAAAGTAATGCATTTTTTTGGGAGCTGCGTTATCAGTTATATACATATAGTAACTTTTATAATAGAATTGAATTCCGTTATATACATATTTGACTGTATTTAAATAAAAAAAAAAGTGATTAATTTTCTTTGTTTGTATTATAGATAACTCCAATACAATTTAGACAAACAATCAATAGATTAAATGAGCTTTTGGCAAAAGCTTTCAATCCAAAAAATAATTGGTATGATAACTGTCTTGCCTGCCTAACAATATATACGTCAACTTTGTTTATACGGTCACATTACGAAAAGGTAAGGGTGATAAAAAATGAGAAATCAAAAGAGTATTATTTATTAACTCAGGCGTATATATTTATATAGATTGTCGAAGAAATATGTATATTTTTAGATAATGAAAATGATGGGTATAGTAAAATATTAGTCAAAGAGTAGATGCAATGTCACAAGAATATCGATCCTATACATGTAGTAACTTAATGTGTGGTTCATCTTTAGGCTTCATATATGAATTCTAAACTATTTTTCAAAGAAATATGTTAAAATTAGAAAGTGCACAAATGGTTTGTATTGACAGTACACATAAAACAACATCACATAAAACATATCTCTTCACTTTACTCGTGCGTGATAATGAATGTGGTTATGGTTATAGATGGCGGTGAAATTATAGTAATAATTTCTACATTCTACAGTAGAAATTGTTGAAATAATTTAACCAAAAATTTTTTAAAATTGAGATGCCGAATTAA